TTGGCCAAATTTGGGGCTTGTATAATTTTTTTATATGCCCGGATAATAAAAATTTTATATTTAACATTTTTTATTAAAAAAACAATAAGTCTTATAGGCATGAGGAGATATAGCAACAATCTTGAATGTAGAAGGCACATTTTGACCACATTTGGGCCTTGTGGCATGAACGGCCTAGGAGGAGATACGTTTGTTTTCAAGGACAGAGTAGTATAGCAGGATGTTGGCTTTCTCAAGCCAACATAACAAGCCCAGGGCTTTATTGTGGTTTTATCCTGGCTTTTATTTTAAAATGTATGAGATACTTGTATTTTGTATAGCTTGTCTAAAATCTGTCAAATAAAAATTCTATTCAATTCATTAACAGCCATCCCTGCATGTACCATAATGATCTAATTTGCAGAACTTGTCAATAATATCTGGATTCAGCCTTTTTGATGCAAGCTGAGTTTGCATCACTCAGCGATGCAATGTCAGACCAACTTGTCCCTATAATAGGACTTTTATTTTAGAAAAACAAAAACAACATGTGGTAGACACACATTTATAAAACAAGTACATTAAACATGACTACGAGTTTGTTGATTTATCAATCAATATTTAGTGGCTCTTTAAAATGATTTCAAATCATTTGATCCCCACAGGCTGACCAATGCACAGGACTGCAAGGTTTCCTGGTCTTCCACAGTTTCGGTGGAGGCACGGGCTCAGGTTTCACCTCTCTTCTGATGGAGCGTCTCTCGGTCGACTTCGGGAAGAAGTCCAAGCTTGAGTTTGCCATTTACCCAGCTCCACAGGTGTCTACGGCTGTGGTGGAGCCGTACAACTCCATCCTGACCACCCACACCACCCTGGAGCACTCCGACTGTGCCTTCATGGTGGACAACGAGGCCATTTATGACATCTGCAGGAGAAACCTGGATATCGAGCGCCCGTCCTACACCAACCTCAACCGGCTCATCAGTCAGATCGTGTCCTCCATCACCGCCTCTCTGCGCTTCGATGGCGCTTTAAACGTCGACCTGACGGAGTTCCAGACCAATTTAGTGCCCTACCCTCGCATCCACTTTCCTCTGGCCACATACGCTCCAGTCATCTCTGCTGAGAAAGCCTACCACGAGCAGCTCTCAGTGGCGGAGATCACCAACTCCTGCTTCGAGCCCAGCAACCAGATGGTGAAGTGCGACCCACGGCATGGGAAATACATGGCTTGCTGTTTGCTCTACAGGGGAGACGTGGTGCCGAAAGACGTCAACGTGGCCATCGCCGCCATCAAGACCAAGAGAAGCATCCAATTCGTGGACTGGTGTCCCACTGGATTCAAAGTGGGCATCAATTATCAGCCCCCGACTGTGGTTCCCGGTGGAGATCTGGCTAAAGTGCAAAGAGCCGTTTGCATGCTGAGCAACACCACTGCCATCGCTGAAGCTTGGGCTCGTCTGGACCACAAATTCGACCTGATGTACGCCAAGAGAGCCTTCGTGCACTGGTACGTGGGCGAGGGGATGGAGGAAGGCGAATTCTCTGAGGCTCGAGAAGATATGGCAGCTCTGGAGAAGGACTACGAAGAAGTGGGCATTGATTCGTTTGAGGAAGACGAGGAGGGGGAAGAGTTCTAAAAGAGAAAAGTGTTTGTTTGTTTTTCTACCAAAAACTAAATAAAGTAAAGCTTTAAATTGTCCCGTTGTGTTGTTTTTAATGTGGTGCTGGGATTTTGAGAATGGCAACTGCATTATTTGATTACTCTTAACATTGAGAATTAAACATTTATACTAGTTTCATGCTTTACACTATGGTATTATAAAATATTGTTTTTATAATATGTTCAATTTCTCTATACACATTGCTCAGCATATATAAGTACACCCCTCACAAATCTATATTTTAAATTCATATTTTCATAGGAAGCCATACAATATTATATTAGTGCATATACATTAGATTAGTTAGTACTGAAGCATAATCTTAGGCTTATCTAACAAAATAACTTACGAGAACGGTCCAAAAACTAGTAACTAGCCCAAATTTATATCATTCATTCATTCATTTTCTTGTCGGCTTAGTCCTTTTATTAATCTGGGGTTGCCACAGCGGAATGAACCACCAACTTATCCAGCAAGTTTTTACACAGCGGATGCCCTTCCAGCTGCAACCCATCTCTGGAAAACATCCACACACACTACGGACAATTCAGTCTACCCAATTGACCTGTACCGCATGTCTTTGGACTGTGGGGGAAACCGGAGCACCCGGAGGACAGGGCAGGGAGGCAGGGAGAACATGCAAACTCCACACAGAAACGCCAACTGAGCCGAGGTTCGAACCAGCAACCCAGCGACCTTCTTGCTGTGAGGCAACAGCACTACCTACTGCGCCACTGCCTCGCGCCCAAATTTATATTTTATAAAAAAATATTAAATGCAAATTTAAAAAGAGGAAAAATAAAGAGAAGCAAAAATTTAGTTGACATTTTGTAGGTTGTAATTTTTTTCAATATTTTGCTCAAATGTAATTGTATGACCTTTCAATTTCTGATTATTACCATCAAGCATATTAATGATTAATTAACATGATTAAAATTAAAATATAAAATAAAATGTATTAAATACATTCAGTTGTTTAATAGGAAGCTATACAATATTAAATGTGTGCATATGCTTTAGATTAGTCCGTACTAAGGCTGAATTTTAGGTCTTTCAAACAAAATAACTTGAAACAAACCAAAAACTAGTACAGTCGATTTTAAATGTTTTTTTATATGTCTTATGTTTTACACAGCTAAAAGACCCTGGGGTCAAATTGACCCCAAAGAACACCGATGAGACAAAATGTGTACAGGGCATTGAACAAATAATATCATGTTAATTTTTTGTTAACAAATTTTCTCCATTTAAATTAGGAAAAGATTCAATCTGAAGTAAAAAGAAATATATATATATATATATATATATATAAAATAAAGAGAAGCAAAAATTTAGTTGACATTTTGTAGGTTGTAATTTTTTTCAATATTTTGCTTAAATGTAATTGTATGACCTTTCAATTTCTGATTATTACCATCAAGCATATTAATGATTAATTAACATGATTAAAATTAAAATATAAAATAAAATGTATTAAATACATTCAGTTGTTTAATAGGAAGCTATACAATATTAAATGTGTGCATATGCTTTAGATTAGTCCGTACTAAGGCTGAATTTTAGGTCTTTCTAACAAAATAACTTGAAACAAACCAAAAACTAGTACAGTCGATTTTAAATGTTTTAGAAAAATATTAAAAACAAATTTAAAAAAGAGGAAAAATCAAGAGAAGCAAAATAATATAAAATATTAGTTGAAATTTTGTAGGTTGTAATTTTTTTGTAATATTTAGCTTTAATTTAATTGTATTACCTTTCAACTTCTAAATATGTTTGGTGACTAACATATTATTTTAGTGAATATATCTGTTTAATAAATCTGTTTTGTTTAAATGCACCAAAATACATTTCCTATATTTAATGAGAAATGGATAAAAATATTCATTTTCAAAATGGGGTGTACTCAATTATGCTGAGCACTGTAAGCCATATTGTTTTTAAAATAGATTTATTTGTTTTAATACATATTATTTATTCATATATTTAATATTTATTAACACTGTTTTAAAATATTTTTATTCTTTATCATTTTAATATTTTTTATAAGAATGACCCTACATGTTTTAGTTGTCTGTTAATGGATTCTGGGTTTATGATCCCTAATTACAAAAAAAGCTATTAAATTTTAAGCATATTAAATATTAATTAATTACAATATAAATAACTATATGATATTAAAATGATAATAAATTAATTTAACTATTATGCTAAATAATTCCCAGTTAAAAACATATTTACATTGTCACATTTACCAGCAAATTTTGTGCACATACAAATTTGAAATATTTTATAATTAGATTATTCAAAGTACCATCTCTTTCCCTATAGATAATAATTAGCATATTTCAGAATTAATATATATCTCTCTTTGTCTATATTCTCATGCTATAATTAGATTTTTTACATAGCTACAAGAATTGCCTACACCTTACTTATTATTTAAACACTGATTAATAAAGAGAGATGAATGTTCTTTAAGGTACAGCCTAGCAGCATTGATTTTTAAAAAAAGTTAAGTAATTTGTTCTTTCTCCAAAGCTCTTTTCATGCAAATAATTACAAACAAATACATCTCACAATATTTTAAAAAAGAAATGAGAGAAAGTAGGCCACAAAAGTCTTGTCGACTATGCAAGTTTTAGGAATAACAAATAATAACTTGACGTTGATTATTTGGTATCAGAAGTAAAAAAGAATATCATGCCTTGAATTTTATTTATTTAATTAGGACAGTAAGGTCTGACTTTGCTTAGACAATAGTCTTGTCACTTAACAGAAATAATGTCCAGCATAGAATATAAAGTAATGCTGCAGTGGAAACAGAATGAATATTGTGTATGACTCCCATGAGCTGGCTCAAATCACTTATTAATGAAGTCATCTGGAATGGCAAAGAAAGCGTTCTTGCAGGACTCCCGGAGTTCATCAAGGTGCTTTAGATCCATCTTCAATGCCTCCTCCTCCATCTTACCCCAGAAATGCTCAATAATGTTAATCTCTGGTGACTGGGCTGGCCAATTCTAGAGCAACTTGACCTTCTTGGCTTTCAGGAACTTTGATGTGGAGGCTGAAGTATGAGAAGGAGCGCTATCCTGCTGAAGAATTTGCTCTCTCCTGTGGTTTGTAATGTAACGGGCAGCACAAATCTCTTGATACCTCAGACTGATGATGTTGCCATCCCCTCTGCAGATCTCTTATAGTAAAAAGTAATTATAATAATAACAATAACATAGAATTACGCAAATTAAATGTACACAATGCTTTATAAGATTAATTTAATTTTTATTTATTCTTTGTTTACGCATTTCTGTTTCTAATGTTAAACAGTAAAAAGGCATAGGAGCACTGATTGGGTTAATGCGGCAGCCGTCAGTTTACGTCACGGTCACGTTTTCTTTGTACACGGAAGAAACCGGATAAATCAGCGGAGGACAGAGAGAGCGTCTTTTAAAGGTAAACGGAGTCTCTCAATTTATTATCCCTTCAGTTAAATTCATTACAAATCCGTTGATAAAAGCATTAAACAAATAGCTAACAATACCTACTGTAAATCTGGATCTTTCGGGTCTCTCGTTGAAAACACTGCCTGCGAAACACAAACCAGCTGTTCTCGAAGACGCCACGTTTACTGCAGTCGACAATTCAAGTCAATGTGTGTAACAACAGTCGTGAATTAATTCACAAAAACATTACGGAGTAATTAGAGTTGTTTTACAGCAACTCGCTGAAGTCTAGGCTGACATGTTTTGAGCTCAACATCGCACGTCAAAAGGGGGAATAATATAAGGAGCAGGTCAGAAAGCTCCGTCGTGCACTATAAATAATTTATTTCAGTGGAAAATTAGACACTGACTCTGTCTTATGTAAATAGACAATATTCATTTCACTTTAATGAACTGCCAAAATTGTCTTGCTTTTAAAATGGTCTGGTTTATGAAGCAACGTTGCTTTACAAAGACCAATAAAATAGGATAATTAATCTGTAATACAAATTACAGAGATGTGGCTCTTGTTACCAAGATAGAGGTAAAGTTGGTTTTATATTCACACATTCAGACCTTCCCCTTAATAATATAATTTAATAAAAGTATTACTTGCAAAGTCTAAATAGCAAAATCATATTAGCAGCCAATGACTATTAAAGTACATTGTTCACAGTCAAATAAACAGTGTTAATGTTGTTTTCAAGTCATATTTGTATGGTAGTTCCGATCGAATATTCAAAGTAACATGGTAAACAATATAGAGACTTCTAAATGAACGAATGTGCGAATATAAAACCAACTTTACCTCTATGTTACCAAGTAGATGGTGAACATTTCTATTGAGGTAATGTTGGTTTTATATTAACACATTAGTTCAGTGACAATTTGTGACATGCTCCCTTTATTTATTTGCCTGTGAACAATGTCGTACTTTGAGGTAAGGTTGTTATTATATTCACGTTTTATTCAGTGACAATTTGTGACATGCTCCTTATTTTGTTTACCATAGTACTTTGAATATTCGGTCTGAATTTTCATGTTAGTAGGCTTTGACTTGAAATCAAAGTTAGCATTACTTACTTGACTGTAAACATTGATAGTCATTGGATGCTAATGTGATTTCACTATTTAGAATTTGCAAACAACACTTCTCTGGAATGATATTCTTAAGGAGAGAGTCCGAATGTGTGAAAATGAAAACAACTTTACCTCAATAACATCTCTACAGACGTTTTCCATAAGGTTTTAGTTAAAAATAGATTATAGCAATATTTTATGTTTAAACAAAAACAACCTATTTATTGAATCGAGCTTAATTTGATCATATATCATAAAATAAGTCATTAACTAATTTTAGTATTTAATAATATGGTTTTATACTAATGATAATAGTTCTGTTATTATTAATATTAGTAGTAGTTGTAGTTTAACAATGTATTGATTTAAAGTTGGATATACTGTATTAAACACAACCTTAACACCACTTTTATCTGCTGAATGCGTGTTATTTTGACAAATGCTAACTAGGTTTCTAGTTCCGGGCTGTAGACAGCCATACCAAAATAATAACGTGTTTTTATTTAGCGCTGTTAGTCACTATTTGAATTTATACTAAATTATCATTTTAGAATTATTTAAGTTTAATTACAAAACAAATATTATGAATAATAATAATATAATATTAACAATCTAGTGGGTTGTATTCAAGTACTTTAAATGCAAATGCAATAATGCTGAATTCTTACAATTCATCAATTTGCAATCCTTTAATAATAATAAAACAAAAAATAATAATAAACAAAAATATTGGAGCAATATACATAATGGGAACCCTGAGTCTAAACCTAGTTTTGCACTATAATATTTTTACCCTTCAGTGACACATTTATTCTTTATAGAAAAGAAAAGAATAGAGATCTGAAGAAATGGAGTTGAATCAATCCTGTAAAGCAGTGGTTCTTAAACTTTTTGTACCAAGTACCACCTCAAAAAAAAAATTGTTTGAGTACCACTATAATGACCGGTATTGAAGTACAGTAGCATAGTAGGCTTAATTAAGCAGCTACAGCTCTGCACAGTTCAAAAGCATGGCAGCTTAATTCTTATTATGAATATTTATTATTGTCAGCCACTTTAAACATAAATAGTTTGAACATTAACACTGCACTGTGTACAGTTAGTTAAAAAATAAAACATTAACGTTTAAATTAAAATGTGCTTTTAAAAGTTTATTAAAAATGGCACTGTTCTTAAAAAAGAAAAAGAAAAATGCTGTACTCCAATGTAAAGTATTAACTTGTATTTAAATATATGAATTGGATTTACATACTTAAATTAGAAACTAGATCTGCCTAGTGCGCGTTAGAGTATAGGCTTTGTGTGTCAGAAAAGCAAGTGATTAAACCATACCTGTCAACATTCGGTTATAAAAATACAGGATACGCCCCCAACAACCTTTACAAATATGGAGAGGAAACTAGTTTCAAATGATAGAATACATAACAAACATTAGAAAATTAAAAATAAAATAAATATCCTATTAAAATCTATTTACTGATCACATGATGTTATTATAAGGGTTAAAAGTATTCATTTGTTTAACTTTAATTCTTCAGCGATTCCTCCACGTTTCACTTGAAGAAAGCCTGCGTACCACTAGTCACTAGTGACTAGTGGTACACGTACCACAGTTTGAGAACCACTGCTGTAAAGCATTTACATGGAAATAATCCAGTTTTGGTGACTTTCAGTGCTTCTCCCCCACCAATGGTTGGTGTTAAGCGATGCTCCAGAGAAGATGGGCCAGGCTTTGTGTATCTGCTCTCGCAGTGCCATCACCATTGACAACAAGAGATACTACTTTGTTCAGAAACTAGAAGAAGGGTAAGGCTCTTTAACTAGACTGTTCACTTTGAATAGTGTAGATGCAGACTTGGATTTGCAAGGTGAGACTGCATGTTTCAGACGTGCAATGCGCTTTAATGGAGTTAGTGATGTCACTGTCAGGGGTAGGGTTAGGTGTGTACATTAAAAAGCATTGCATGCAGCTCACCTTGTGACTGCGCCTAGTCTGCATCCAGACCCCTCTCTTCAGTTTCAGGCCTTCAAAACCAGAACAGTGTCAGTCCAAACATGATTGCTTTTACTGATGAAATGTATTGGGAATGGGAATGTGTCTTGATATTCTTTAAAATCATGCTCTAATGGAAATGATCAAGCACACCCCCCAATATCAAAGCTCTCATGATATTTAGGACCTTCCCCATCCCTATGTCATGTGAACTGTCAGTGTTTCTCGCAATACTAAAGGTATGGTTGTGTTCGTTTTTTTATATACTTACCATATAAAATTATAGTACATATTATAACATCATAGCATGTTATAGTGGCCTCAATATCACCCACAGCAAATATGTATACCTTTTTATATGTCTTGTGTTTTACACAGCTAAAAGACCCTGGGGTCAAATTGACACCAAAGAACACTGATGAGACAAAATGTGTACAGGGCATTGAACAAATAATATCATGTTAATTTTTTGTTAACGAATTTTCTCCATTTAAATTAGGAAAAGATTCAATCTGAAGTAAAAAGAAATTATATATATATATATATATATATATATATATATATATATATATATATATATATATATATGTATATATTTAAATATATGCACATACGTTTTACTTTGAATGGGGTAAAATTATTATCCCAAGGATAATAAGAGCGTTAATGACTGCAGAAGGCTTTTTTATTAAATAAACTCTTATTTTTATTACGTTTTTATTACTTACTTTTATTAAAAGGACATATTTAGCAAAGTGCCACTAGAATTTTTTTTAGAATTTTTAACATGTATTAACCGTAAAAATCTTATTCAATTTATGCATTAATTAGTTTGTTGTTTTTAATTGTATATTAATTAATGAAATGTTCTAACCATGAAAATAGCCTTTGTTGCTGACATAGCATTAAACAAAAATTCACCATCATCATGACCATCCTGTCCACTCTGTCTAGTGGTTTCAGCTATGTGGACCTGGTAGAAGGTGCGCACGATGGTCGTTTCTATGCTTTGAAGCGAATCCTCTGCCATGACCGCGAGGCCCGTAAGGAGGCGCAGACCGAGGTGGAGATGCACCGGCTCTTTAACCACCCGAATGTCCTTAGCCTCACTGCATACACCTTCATGGAGCGCAGCGGCAAGTGTGAGGCCTGGCTGCTGCTCCCCTACATCAGTGTGAGTAGATTGTGGGTTCTGCTTCTCTTTATAAAGATGCCGTACACACAGAATGGCGATGGACATATGCATATGCCACTTCCGATGCAGGAATTGTGATCTATAAAAAAGCAAACTTGACGGGAGAATGTGTGTCAGGTGTAAGTAAACATATTTGAGCACCATTGAGTTCCATTATAAGCACATTTTTTGATTGTAAAAGCCATGACACCAAATAATTATGCAGTCTTGATTGTTGGTGTTTTTCCCTGTTGGGATGAGGTAAAAGTTTTCCTTTTTACTGTTGATCATCAGTTGGCATCATTAACCCTTTAGATAGGCCTGTGGAAGGTGGAGTTCTGTGAAGTAAAGCAACAAATTATAGTGTGCACGCATAAATACACTTACTGTGATCTGAGAGCTGAGCTGCTTATTTTTAATTTCCTTAAATATATCAAGGTAAGTGCGCAAAGGTCTCCCACATACAAACACACACATACACACTATACTCCATATAACCATACAATTTTAAGCCACAAACTACACTTTTTTTTTTTGCACTAAAACTGACGATCAACAGTAAAAACTACCTATTTAACCTCTTCATGCATGATTATATGGTATCTTTGGCTTTCAAATAAAAAAATGTCATTATTATGGAAGTCTATGGGGCAAAAACAACCCCAACATAATGAGTAGTACGTTTTCCCAGAGTGTATTGTTGAATTTTTGACAATTTTCAAAACGTTTTTCCAAAATGTGTGTCAAATAAGATTTGTCACCAAAAATCTCTCCATTTGCTGAAACACAGAGGAAGTTGTGGCCACATTAAGACTCAAAATCAACCCAGAGGGGATGAAAACATCCCAAACAGCACACAAGGGTTAACTTAAACATTGATTTAACCGAACCACTTTAAATCATCACGAGCCATAGTCATTCATGAATTAAATGAACATTTATTTTAGTGTAAGTGTACTTTCCCTTTTACTAAGTAAGTGTACTTTCCCTTTTACTTTAGGCAGGTGTTTACACAAACTGTATAATTCACACCACAGGCCTACATTATTAAATACAGTAAATAAATACAAATATGCAGTTTAAGCCGAGACACTAAAGGCCTTTCATGCACCACTCAGTTTTGAGATTATGATGTAAAGAAAAGATCCAAAACAAAGTTTCATTTGTTTCTTTTATTGCACTTGATCAGTTTGTGTCTGAAGATTTTAATTATAGTGCATATTTTCAAATGCAGTTTTCTCAAAATGAGTTTTTTTATACACCACACTTTACAGTGTAATTCATATCTATATTATAAAGAGTTTTACCTGGCGATTTGTTTATACATAATTTGCTTTAATATATACGTCATTTTTTGTACAAAAAGAAGTTGTGAAAATGTCATTTTTGGTGGGCTGTTTTGTGTACTTTCTGAATAAAATGAGTTTCCCAAAATCTCTTTTGTAAAATCAAGAATTTTGAAACCTGACTTTATCCTGTATTCTGATGTTTATGGTAGAAATGTACACAAATGTGTGCGTATTTAATCAAATAATGCCTCATTTGTATATATAAACATATTATTTTAAAAAGCTGTTTACAATGAATGCACGTGCAAAATGATTGTAATGCTTAATGTGATCAGTCAACTGGAAGTAAGGTCAAATTTATTTGATCTCACTCACATGCAGTTTGTTGCCTTATAATTGTGTGATTTTTCTGAATTGTTTGTGTGCAGAAGGGGAGCGTGTGGTCTGTTCTGGAAAAGCTGCGGGATAAGGGAAGCTTTATGCCTGAGAGCCGAATCTTACACATTCTGCATGGCATCTGTGAAGGACTTAAAGCAATTCATGACAAAGGCTATGCACACAGGTACTAAAAGTAAAATGCATCTAGCTGAAGCCCAAATTCCTGCCTTATTTCTGTCTTGTTAATTACATTATAGTGCTTATGCAAATGCAACACTTTACAATGACTTTCTGTTTGTTAACATCAACTAACAATGAACAAAACTTGTATGTCCTTTAATAATCTTTATTAGTGCATTTACAACAATTAATGATACAGTTTTTAAATCAAAAGTTGTGTTAACAATGGTCAGTGCAATAAGGATTGACATGAACAAACAGCAATTAATAGTATTTCTATTAAGAAACATTAACAAATATTTATAAAGGCTGTTAAACACATAATGCTTGTTAGTTTTAGCTAATGCTAATTTTAACAAACGAGATATTATTTTAAACGAATAAAAAGTATAGTTTCTTTTATAAAAAAAACTTAAAGATGTGAAATAAAAAGCAAAGAAAATCTCATTTATGTAAATCTTATCAATATACCTTAAGTAATGGCAACCCAAATAAGTTATTATATTATGGCAGGAATGACCTGCTTTTAGTATATTGTATTAATGGGTTTTAACCACAGCGGTTCAAACTGTAGTTCTGCAGAGTGACTAAAAAGTGATCAGCATGATGGTAAAAAAACTGTACATTTCTAGTCAAACCATTCTTCTGCAATCTTATTCTAAAACTGGAAATAAGGGCAGTATTAATAGCTATAAATGTGGGAGAGCGTTGATATTATGTGATTGTATTGTATTGCAATATGGAACAAATGAATGTTGATGTTCAATCAAAAGTCATTCACAAATACTTGAAAATGAGATGATTTAATGGCAACAATTCTCTATGGTTACAACTGAATTAATTACAAAGTAACTGTATGAAATGATAAAATATGAAGTGATAAAACATATGATATAAATTTTACCTAGCTTAAATGTAAAAATAAAGTTACCAGAGGTTGGAGAGAGACAGGGGAAGGGAGAGAGAGACAAAGGGAGCAGGCCCAGAAGTTAGCCTGATTGCAGTAGAGTCCGAGAAGATAGACTCCAGAGGAGGAGAGGAGCAGAGCAGGAAAGCGCAGAGATGGAAAAGAAGAGGCAGAGCACTAGTTTACTAGCTATTTTGTATCTTTCTTGACCATGTGACTAAGGGCCTACTCGCACTATGCCATCCGTACCGTGCCCAGGCCCGTTTCCTGGATCGTTTGAGAAGTGTGAGTGCGCTGAATCAGGCTCAGGCACGGTTCACTTGGCCGGCCCTGGCCCGGTTGGAAGAGGTGTGCCTGAGCACGGTTCACTTGTGCTTTGGCACAGTACTCTTGTGTGTGAGTGCAAAACGCGCCAAAGCTCAAAACTGAAAGCGAGACGTGACTTTTAAGGGGCTGTTTTATATGGATTTATTAATAATTCTTACTGTTCAGTGAACGCAAACTGCCGTCATTTATTAAAAACGAGAACTCCTCACAGCACGACAGCTGCGCGCCTTCAGCAGACCTCCTCATTCCTGCAGCACGAGGGCTTTATGATTGTTTATGAGCGCCAAAAGTGACGGATCTGTTCGGCGAAATATCTGACTGCTTGTCCCCGCATCCCTAATGACTGTTTGGCTAATTATCTGACTGCATGTCACTGCATAACAAACGACTGAAACGATATAACTAGAGAAATCTCCACTGTGCTGCTGAGTGAGAGAGTGCTTCTCACTGAACAGCGCAGCAGCAATGACGTAAGCGTGCCCAGGCCCGTTTGTGGTGTGAGTGCGTGCTGTCGGGGGAGACAGGAGGGTTCTTTGACAAAGCGTGCTTTGGCCTGGTTCAAGGCAACTGTGCCTAGTGTGAGTACGGCCTAAAGTCTAAATGCTGAGACATTCAAACTAACCAATCAACATGTGACCACATTGTAAAACCCCCAAAGTTCACATACCAGGCCCTGATCTTACCAGTATCTGCCTTTGGAGTCAGTATGGACCTTCTTGAGTCAAAAAGACATGTTTTTTCCTATAAACAAATGCATATGATAATTTAGCCTCTTACAATGTTATATCTTCTTATGACTCTAACATGTTTTTTTTATTTCTGAACTCAGAGATCTGAAACCCACCAATGTTTTGCTGGATGAAAACGATCGTCCTTTTTTAATGGACCTGGGCTCCATGAACAAAGCCAGGATTGAGGTCCGGGGGTCACGGGAGGCCATGACAGTCCAGGTTAGAGGAGAATAATATTAAGCAGCACTTTATTGAGTGTTGTCTTTAAAATAAAATATTCTATGTTTGTATATGTTTTTTTTTTGTCTTTCAGGATTGGGCAGCGCAGAGATGCACCATTTCTTATAGAGCGCCAGAGCTGTTTAATGTGGAGAGTCACTGTATTATTGACGAGAGAACAGACATTTGGGTAATTATTTTCTTTTTTTTTTTATTCACCTTTCAGATGTTCTTTCCCAAAATAACAATGATGACATGAATAAAGGCTTGAATTCAGCAGCAGCACTCAAAACCCATATTATTTATAATTATAATATAATATTATAGATGTTGTTTTATTGCTCTTCATTGTGTAGACTGTTGTGTGTGTGCAGGTCTGGAATTAATAAACTTTGTCTTTTTTACATCTCTAGTGTTACGTCTGTAACTTGTATGTTGTTTTTCTGCCTGTAGTCTCTAGGTTGTGTGCTGTACTGTATGATGATGCTGGAGGGACCATATGATTTGATCTTTCAGAAGGGGGACAGTGTGGCTCTCGCTGTCCAGAATCCAGTCTCCATCCCACAGCCATGCAGGTGAGCTTTAGATCTTTCAGGACAATAGTTTATTGGAAGAGGCAGCTCTGTGCATGTGCAATGCTTTATGTACATGTTTGCTGATTACTTTTATAATCATGTAGTTGTCAACACTGGATGAAAGTGGATCAAAACCTTTAATCAAAGTGGTTACCACTGTAGCCTAACAGTAAGAAGGTCTCTGCTTCGAGAAGGGCATCTACTGCGTAAAACATACACTGGTTAAGTTTTCGGTTCATTCTGTTGTGGCTTAGTCCCTGATTAATAAAGGGACTAAGCCGAAGGAAAATTAATGAATGTCTTAAGACAATTTTGAAAAACTTATTTGATCCACTTGTTGACTACTATATATATATATACATAATATAATTTTCCCCCATTAAACAAAACGCATAGGAAATTGTAGAACTTTACTTTTGAATAATATTTTATATATATATAAAAGATCATGTTTAATGAAAACATAATAATAATAATAATATATGTGTTATACTGTGATATTATATGCCAAACATATGTTTAGACATTAACAAATTGCATAGGAATTTGTTTAATTTAAAACATGAAATTTTAAATAGCGAATTTTAGATAAAATTGATTACATTATATTTAATTTTTAAAAATTGCACATTGAAAATGTATATTACATATTTGTCAGCGGCAGCAACACCAAAGCTCCAAAAACATTTTCCACATTGAAAATGTATATAATGTCATAATGTTATAAAATGTACCGTGTAAAATGTTATAAAATTGTACTCAGAAATTCAAATTGAGTTTTCGAATTTAATTAAAAGTTAATTGAATTGGATTAAAAATGTAATTAATCATTTTAAATGTAAAGATATGTTCACTATATTTAATTTAAGTATTTTTAAAACTTATTTTCCCTGAAATGGGTTATATATATATATATATATATATAAACACAGTTGAAATTTTTTTTTTCTTTTTTAAACGTTTTCCAAATGATGTTTAACAGAGCAAGAAAAAGTTCACAGTATGTCTGAAAATATTTTTTTCTTTTAGAGAATGTCTTATTTGTTTTATTTTTAGAAAAAAAGCACTTTTTATTAAAAGGTCAAAAATATTAGCCCCTTTAAGCTATATTTTTCTCAGTCTACAGAACAAACTATCGTTATACAGTAGCTTGCCTAATTACCCTAACCTGCCTAGTTTATCCTAATTAACCTAGTTAAGCCTTTAAATGTCACTTTATGCTGTATAGAAGTGTCTTGAATAGTATCTAGTCAAATATTGTTTACTGTCATCATAGAAAAGCTAAAATAAATAATTTATTAGAGATGAGTTATTAATCTATTGTGTTTAGAAATGTGTAAAAAAAAAATCTGCTCTCCGTTAAACAGAAATTGGGTAAAAAATAAACAAGTGGTTTAATTAAGGGGGGTTAATAATTCTGACTTCAACTGTACATGTATATAAGTTTTTTATACATTGTGGTAAATATATATAAAGTGATAAACAACAAAACCATAATTCCAAGGCACTCGAAATGTAAGTGAAAAAATTACAAAGCCATTATTATCATAACTGTCTATTCGTTTAAAACTACGCCTACGCATTTCGGCAACACTTACCTTCATCAGGTATCTTCATCAGTCTCTTACCCAAAGAGCACAGACACATTAACTACCCCTGAAGCACTTTTAATTTGTTTTTGGATGTATATATAAAATGATGTATACTGATTCCCCCACAGTCCAAAGACATGCGGTGCAGGTGAATTGGGTAGGCGAAATTGCCTGTAGTGTATGAGTGTGAATGAGTGTGTGGATGTTTCCCAGAGATGGGTTTCAGCTGGAAGGGCATCCGCTGCATAAAAAAAACGTGCTGGATAAGTTGGCGGGTTATTCCGCTGTGGTGACCTTCGATTAATAAAGGGACTAAGCCGAAACAACCATGAATGAATGAATAATGTATACTGGGATAACATTTATTTTTTTTCTTGCATTAAATTGAAAGCTACTTTATATTTTCTAATCATAACATATTCTTGCATCTCTACAACTGGGAATGCTGCCTTAACAAATAATAATAATAATAAAACAAAACGTTACTGTGTTAACTTTATAAGCAGTTGACATGTCTGTATATTTGATGCAGTTATTCTCCAGAGCTCCAAACGCTGCTCAGCTCCACTATGGTGACCAATCCTCAGGAAAGGCCCAGAATCGGCTGGGTTCTCGATCAGATCAAGAGTCTGCGGGGCTCAGACGGTACAGATATCGACACAAACAGAGTATGATGATTCCTCTGGCCGTCCCGTCTGTTTCCACTGGACTCTGGACATTTTGGACTATGCACTCTCTATTTCAGACAAAAATAACTCAATGAACTCATAAGCCTTGCAAACATTTGCTCTCTCTTACCTCAGTGAGCTCAGCGCACCATTAACACACTGTCTCAATTTCCGCCCTAAAATTCATGAAATTATGATGGTTTTGTGGGTCAAATTTGAGCAGGCGTGTTGCAATATTCACAATATTATCACACAAACCACATTAGAGAGTGCAATAGGTTTGTTCACTAATGTTACGTATCATCAAACAAGCTGTTTTCTGATTATAATACCCTTTTTTATTACTTGTATTTGTTTGTGCATTTTAAAGAACCAAAAATGATTATTTATAATGTTCTCAATTGATGTTTTAAGTGTAACTGACAGAAGTTAGATTATTTGGGAACACTTTCCAATAAGGTCTTGTTTTTACCATTAGTTAATGAATTAAAGGATTATGATAAATATCGGTTTATTTCATAAATGATACAATCGTTTATTGATTATTCACAATGCATTAAAAGGGGCAGTTCACCCAGAAATTTAAATTTGCAGTCGTTTCACTTTTTGTTTAAAATGTAGAGTTTTTTTTGTTTAGCATAACATTTACATGCTTTTATGCTTTTATCTGATTGATTCGATGATTTATAAAATAAAAGTCATCACTTTTGAGAGTCAAAAACATGTACAGGAATAACAAAATTAATACCTGTTGGTCCTGATGATACATTGATGACTTATGGAGCAAAACCTGTGCAAGAGACTAAACATTATTTCCAATATAAGAACTCAAAATCTAATCCAGAAACACTGGTAATTATTTTGATGTGACTGTATAGTCAAGAAATTACTTTTGCTGCTTGTTCAAGCTACTTATTTAAAATTAGACACAATTCAAGTTTTTTGGGCGACTACTTAATTGTTTTTTTCCATTATTCAGTTAAGTTAATTGACCCTTCGCTAAGCCACACCCAAAAACCGCCACCCACCAATGGTGGCTTAGCAACTGTAGCAATGCGCAGGGGCTCTCAAACTTTCGAGCGAGTGCATATGGATTGTGTACATCTGATACCCGGTATCCTTAAATTTTGGACGGGATGGTGGAATTTTTTCCTTTTTCAAAACCAAAAAACCAAGAGGAGAAATGCCAGCGTGGATCAAGCAGTGTGAGGGGCGCTAAAGGAGCAGAGCGAATCTGTTGCTAACTTTACTGAACTTCATATTTCCATCTATTTTAAGCTACGAATATTTGAAATTACAAATAAACACAACAAAACCGAGATATGATCACAGACTGAGCACTTGTGATCAATATACTTTACCAGCAGCTGTTGTTCAGTAATTTATAAAGAGCATACAAACATACTGACAGGTAACTCACTGTACATTACATGGTTATGGGTCAATGATGCTAATATTCCGCACAAATCCATCAGTTTCCCCTTCCTGGCTGCTCTTTCTAAGAACGAATTTTGTAAAAGCACTGTCATGCGTGTTTCCTCGTCGGTTAGTAACGCTATATTTCATTGCACAACAATAGTCTATCAGGCTTTTGGGCTAAAAATAGAGAAATCACGGTTTAATTTGTTATTATTAGGTTATTTTTAAATGTCACCTCTCCTGCTGACCATGAGCTAAGCTGTTGACTGGTCAGCATATGAGGCAGCTAGGCTAAGCTAGCTTTAATTTAGATTAAATTATTCTCTAATGGGTTGCCTATGTCGTGAATATACCCCTGTAATGCAAACTTGCGTCCTTTTTTGTCTGGCTTTCTAGGATATCTCCCTGGCAATGTCTGACACCGGCGCATACACATACGTAGTAAAAGCCATGTCAGGCACGAAAGCTTGACGGGCGGGGCTTAGCGAAGGGTCAATTGATTTATGTTGGGACAACATGAAGGAAATGTGTGAAATATGCATTTATTTATAGTGTATATTCTTATAGAGTGCTACTAATAACCATGGTTTCAGCTTATTTAATGTTACTCTGAAGGTATATATCACATCTTGAATGGTTTGAGTAAATATTAACAGCACATTTTCATTTCAGGTTGAACTGTGACCTCAAAAATGCATAAATGAAGACTAAAATGCTGAAGCTATATATATTGTTCGTCATAGATCTTATTTTAAAGTGATTATGTAAACAATAAAACAAGACACAAGTTTTTTTTGTGGACAAAATTATGAACGTTTTCTTAAAAAGGTCCACACTCTTTCAGAAATTAAGGTACGTGAGCTGTCACTAGGGTGGAACCTTTTCAAAAGGTACACATTTGTACTTAAAGGGTCCACATTGGTACCTCAAAAGTATATATTTTTTCCTAAAAAAGTTAAGAACACTTGTTTTTTGTAGGTACTGATATGTACCCTTGAGGTATTAATATGGACCTTTTAGGTACACATTTGCACCTTTTGAAAGGGTAACACCCCAGTGACAGCTCGCGCACCTTTATTTCTGAGAGTGCAGATAAAGCTGTGCTACTGCCTTTTGTCCTCATATGTGAAACACACAACCAACAGTTGTCATTTGTTAATTAATTCATACATTTGATGTAAGATTGTAAAAATGGTACTGCTCATGTTTATTGAAGTGTGAAAAAAGTCTGATAAATTTGTGGATTCAAGAATAAGTAATACTTGGCTTTTATCAGCAAGTGAAAATGATGTTATGTACACTTAGTTTTCATAACAGATTGTTGCTATTTCACATTAATTTCCAAGATGAATGTGTTCACTTTTGCCATTTTAAGAGGTGCAAATGGGTGCTCAAATACCCTTTAACAAGTTTCTTTCATTGCTTAAAGCAGTGTTTTTTAACCATGTTTAGGATGTTTCCTTTGACTGTCACACCCATTACAGATCTTTCAGTCTCTGCTAATGAGCTGATAATCTGAATCAGGTGTGTTTGGTTAAGGAGACATGGAAAATATGCAGAGCTGGTGGTCCTCCAGGAACATGGTTGAGAAACACTTGCTTGCAGTATTATGGCGTCATTTAAAGGAATTGTAATAAGCAATTGTGTTCATTGAGCTAGAAATCTAGAGATCATTTTAGCATTTTTGTTTAGTCTAGTAAGGCTTGGTTAGTGAGGATGAGTCTCATGGAAACATATCCAGGTCATATTTTTTAAGCTTTCAACATCGATAAATGAATAGAAAGTAATAAATTGCATGTATTCTGTACTGTTAATTTGATTACATTTTGTTTTTGTCATTGGGGCATTACGTTGGCCTTGACATGTTTTCATGAGATATGCATCACATGCTTTTTCATAACTCAGGACTGAAATAACTCAAGCATTCCATAACTATATTTATTAATTGGAATTGGAATTTAACCGTAAATAAGGACCTAAATGTTTCCATGCTTTTTCTTCGTCTGTTTTGAACTAATTATATTCACATTTACTTTTCTCAGATTTAGGTGTTTAAAAAGGTCATCTGAACTTGCACACAAAGTTCTATCCGAGTTTGTTTCTGTTCAGGAATTATTATGCAAGACTCTTAATTTATAGCATATAAGACCGGAGACTTTTAACTTGGCATTCATGTATTCAGGAATTTTGTTTTGTTAAAAACCGAATAAAGTGTGAACAGTCGACAGATATGAGTTGTGGTTTGGTTTTCAGTATAGCCACAAGATGGAGATGTTGCTCAAGTTGTGTTTTGATGACGGTTAAACGGTGAAGAAAACTGAAGACGCGGTTTGGTGAGTGTTTTCTGACATTTCGAGATCGTTTTGATTACTTTTGATATCTGTAGTGACATATTTACATGGCGAGAAATGATAATATGCTGTTTTATAAGCTAACACTTCAAAGTGTGTCCGAAGAATTGGAGTATTAAGTTACCCTAGTGGAAAAAAAACAGCTTAAACCAGCTTGGGCTTGTTGGCTGGTTTTAGCTGGTCAACCAGGCTGGTTTTAGAGGGGTTTTTGGCCATTTCCAGCCAGGTCTTGGCTGGTCAGGCTGGGAAATGACCAGCTAAATCCAGCTTGAGCTGCCTAGCCAGGCTGGGAGCCCAGCCAAAACTATGTCCAGCTTAAACCAGACTGGTCAAGCTGGATTTAGCTGGTCATTTTCCAGCCTGACCAGCTAAGACCAGGCTGGAAATATCTGGAAACCAGCCTGGAAATGGCCAAAACCCCTCTAAAACCAAGCTGGTCAATTAGCCAACTAGCCTATGCTGGTTTAAGCTGGATTTTTCAGCAGGGAATTAATAATTTACCGTTGTATACGAATGTACTCCTGTAGTAGGTTTTAGAGGGTTTTTTTCCATTCCAGGCTGGTTTCCAGACACTTCCATCCTGGTCTTTACTGATCTGATGGTCTGGGAGATGACCAGCCCTAACCAGGGTTGGAGTCCAGCCAGAACCAGGATGGTTAAATTGGTTTTAGCTGATTATCTCCAAGCCTGACCAGCAAAGACCAGGCTGGAAATTGCTGGAAACCAGCCTGGAATGGTCAAAACCCATTTAAAAATAGGGGGTCGACCAAATAAATCCATCCAACCACCATAGGCTGGTTTAAGCTGTTTTCTCAGCGTGGAATGTAGGCAATAATTGTTTAGAAAGGAAGAATCTCCTTTAAAATGTAATGTTTGTTGCAAAACAATAAATGTCTGCTTTTGAAATAAATATAGCTCACCTACATGTTTATTTAATTGACAATTGTTAAAAAGCTGTTTAAATCAAACCCCAATATTAACGTAAGTCTATTTAATAAAAAACATAAAGAAAAATAATTCTGCAGCAGTTTTAATAGTGAGTAGTAGCAAGTAGTGATTTATTTTTATTTTAAATATTATTGTTAATGTGCTTTCATTCATTAACTTTCCTTGGGCTCAGTCCCTTATTTATTAGGGGTCGCCACAGTGGAATGTGCTTATTTGTTCATATTTTTATTTGAACTAAAATATTACATCGATTTTTGCTTTGTATAAATCAGAATTTGATCCAAAACTCTGTGACTGATCCCTACTTTGGGTCTCTAACGATGTGCCATGTTTTAATGTTGTTTATTCAGAGGCTGACCTTCACAAATACAGTTTCTTCAGTGACCACCTCCTGAAACGTCTACAAAACAATCTGCTCAAACCTCTCCATGCTGTTACTTGAAGGTATGAAACAATTATTACTAGCTGTTTAAGCACCAGAATTTATGGTTCCCTGAGGTTGTGGGGGTCAGAAGTGACGCTCTTACTCAATATTCATCTTAATCAATCTCATCAATGACCTTACGCCACCGACAGGGGTACAAAAAAGCTATAAACTGCATATATGCACACACACATTTACCTAAACATCACCGGTTTTCAGACAGTCAATGTAATGCAAAGACAGAGATACAGTTCCAGTGGGATGAATTACACTTTAATTAGCATTCCCATCCATGCAAACCAGGTCCAGTCGGTCTCTTCTGGATAATCATTCATTATCCAGAAACAATGTTTATGTGCGAATGTCCTCCGCTCTGTTTTCATGATCCCATCGGCTATGAGATGATGTCATGTTATAGTCCACTTCAAGGTCACACCAAACATAC